GTTCTGGATATTTCATGTAAATGGAACCATACAATATGTGGTCTTGTGTGACTGTCATCTTCTTCACTTAGCATAATGTTTTTGAGATGTGTCTTTGTAGCATGTGTCAGTACTTCATTTTTTTTAATACCAGCTGGTATTTCATTGTAAGGGTAGATCACATTTTGCTTATCCATTCATCAACTGATGGATATTTGGGTTGTCTTCACTTTTTGTCTATTACGAATAATACTGCTGTGAACATTTGTGTACAGATTTTGTGTGGATGCGGGTTTTCAGTTTTTAAAATTATAGACCTAGGAGTGGAATTGCTGGGTAATATGGTAGGTAACTCCGTGTTAACATTTTGAGGAACTGCCAGACTGTTTACCAAAGCAGTGCGCTGTTTTACATTTTCATCAGTAATGTATGAGTTCTAGTCTTTCTGCATCCTCCACAACAGCTTTTTGATTGTATCATTGTAGTGAGTGTGAATTTAGTAGCTCCTGGTGATTTTGTTTTGCATTTCCCTAATGGCAAATGATGTTAAGCATCTTTCCATGTAATTATTAGGTATTTGTGTGTGTATTTATACAGATATATCTGTTCAAATTCTTTGGCCATCTTTCCTTTGAATTGTCTTTTTTATTTCTGAGTTGTAAGAGTTATTTATATATTTTGGATACCAGTCTTTTTTCCCAGGGGTCCCCAACCCCTGGGCCAGGGACCAGTACTGGTCTGTGGCCTATTAGGAACCGGACGGCACAGCAGGTGTTGAGCAGTGGGTGAGCAAGTAAAGCTTCATCTGTACATACAGCCGCTCTCCATTGCTCACATTATCTCCTGAGCGCTGTCTTCTGTCGGATCAGCAGTGGCATTAGATTCTCATAGGAGCATGAACCCTATTGTGAACAGTACATGCAAGGGATCTAGGTTGTGGGCTCCTTATGAGAATCTAATGGCCGATGATCTGAAGTGGAGCTAAGGTGGTGATGCTGGCATTGGGGAGTAGCTGTGAAAATATAGATTAGCATTAGTAGTAAGGTTTGACTGCACGGAGACCATAATAAATCAATTGCTTTCAGACTCAGATCAAAACCCTATCAGTGAGTGGCAAGTGAGTTGATGTACTTCAATTGTACAGCTGCATCTGGTGGCAGGCTTTAAGATAGAATCTGACACTTTAGTCTGCACGTAGCCCGCCCATTATTTTATGTCCCACTTCCATCTGTGCCTTGGACTGTGTACTTGTCTCAGCCACAGTTTTGGTAATCCCACAAGCTAACCCTAGACAAAATGAATAAAAACCAAACTTCACTGGAGAGCTTCTTTGAAAAGGGGGAAAGACCCAATGATGAGACAGCAGAAGACTTTAAGACTGCCATCAAAAAGAAAGTTACATTTAAAAGAAAATACAGCCGGGCTTGGTGGCTCAGCCTGTAGTCCCGCGCCTTGCGAGGCTGAGGTGAGTGAATTGCCTGAGCCCGCGGGTTCGAGACCCGCCTGGACAACTTGATGAGACCTCATCTCTACAATAAATAAAAAAATTAGCGGAGCATGGTAGCATGTGCCTGTAATCCCAGCTATTTGGAAGGCTGAACGGAAGGATCGTCTGAGCCCAGCAGGTCGAGGCTGCGGTGTCCGGGAGCGGCCACTGCACTCCAGTCTGGGTGACAGAGTGAGACTCCAACTCAAAAAATAAATAAAGAAAGAAAGAAAGAAAAGAAAATACTAAGAGTCCTACTTAAATTACGGGTTCATTGCAACAAGTGATTCACATTCTCTAAGCCTGCTTTGGAGAATATGTGGCGACTGGCTATTCAATGAAGCCATGAAACTTTCAAAACTGCTTTACCACATGGAGACCAAGGACCGTTCATTAAAACACTAGGCTTTGGAGATTTTCAAAAGAAAAAAAAAACATGAACATGAAAAACAGAAGCAATTTTTGAAGGCCATCACTTCATCGAATATGTCTGCACTGAAAGCATCATTCTTCGTGACTAATTTCATTGCTAAAACTAAGAAGCCCTTTACTATTGAAGAATTGATCCTGCCTGCTGCTAAGGACATTTGTCATGAACTTCTAGGAGAGGCTCAGTTCCAAAGGTGGTACATGTTCCTCTTTTAGCTTGCACCATAACTAGATGAATGGGTGAAATAGCAGAGCATATCGAGGCACAGTTGTTAGGGAGGATTAATGACTTAACAGTACGCAATCCAGATTGATGAGTCCACCAATGTTGACAACAAGACAACAATGCTTGTTTTTGTGCGATGTATTTTTCAGGAGGATGTACATAGGATATGCTATGTGTACTTCTGTTGCCAACCAGTACTACAGTTGCAGAGTTATTCAAGTCTTTGAATGATTACACATCAGGAAAACTGAATTGGTCATTTTGTGTCAGTATATACAGGATGGAATGGCTGCCGTGACTGGATGACTTTCTGGTTTCACTAATCAGGTCACAGAGGTCGCTTTGGAATGTGAGTCTATGCACTGTGTCATCCATAGAGAAATGCTGCTAGCCAAAAAATGTCACCTGACTTTAACAATGTTTTGCAGAATGTGATTAAAATTACCAGTCACATTTGCCCTTAACTCACTACTGTTTGTGCAGCTCTGTGAGGAGAATGGACATTGAGCACATATATCTTCTCTTATACGCAGAAGTGAGATGACTTTCTAAAGGTAGATCACTGGTCAGTTTTTGAGTCACAAGAGATGCTCCAGAGATTACTTTGAGAAAAACAGTCACCACTAGCAGCACATTTCAGTGACATGGAATGGGCTGCAAAACTTGCTTACTTGTGTGACATAATCAACCTGCTTAAACAAACTCAATTGGTCACTTCAGGAGGAATGACAACTGTGTTCAAGTCAACAGATAAAGTGGCTCCATTCAAAGCCAGACTGAAATTATGGGAATGACTAGTGAACATTGGGATTTTTGACATGTTTCAAACATTATCAGAGATTTTGAAAGAGACTGAGCCAGGGCCTTCTTTGCTCCCAGCTGGTGCATGATCACTTATCTCAGCTTTCAAAAACATTACATCCCAACCACAAAAGACCCCTGAACTAGGAAGGAATGGATCTGCGACCCATTTGTGAATAAGCCAGGTGAATCACACTTGCAGAAGAGAATCAACTGCTTGAGATTGCAGATGATGGTGGCCTTAAAAGTATGTTTGAGACAACCTCAAATCTCCATACATTCTGGATTAAAGTCAAGGCAGAATAATCTGAGATTGCCACAAAAGCATTGCTTGCATTTCCAACATCCTATCTTTGTGAAGTAGTGTTTTCTTCAGTGACAGCAAACAAAATGAGATTATGGAGTAGCATGAACCTAAACAACACTTGGGTGTCACTATTTCCCATTACCCCCAGATGGGACCATCTAGTTGCAGGTAAACAAACTCAGGGCTCCCACTGATTCTGCATTATGTGAATTGTGTAATTATTTCATTATTTATTACAATGTAATAGTAAAAGAAATAAAGGCACAATAAATGCAGTGTGCTTGAATCATCCCAAAATCATCTCCCCTCCACACCCCACCTCCCCTTCCATAGAAAAATTGTCTTATGGTACTGGTCCCTGATGCCATAAAGGTTGGGGACCACTGCCTTATCAGATAAATGGTTTGCAAATATTTTCTTCCACTGTGCATGTGGGTGAACTTTCACTTTCCTGAGATTGTTCTTTGAAGCACAAAGGTTGTTTTTTAAAAAAATTTTTTATAAACTTGCCATTCATTCTTTCTTGCTCATTCCTTGAGCTCATGTTTATTGAATATTGCCATGAGCCAGGCATTGTGCCAGATGCTGGGAATACAGCTATGTCATCTTGTATTATAAGTAGTAATTTAATTTGACGTAGTGAGTTTTTCCTATTTACCACTAGGTACATTTGGCGTAGTGAGTTTTTCTTAGGATATTAGACCACTGGGTATTATACTCCTCTTTGCTTTATGTGAAATAGGGGTGTGTATGATGATCTAAGTTAGCTGGAAATATTTTTAGGACTAATGATTGTAAGGCATTCAATTAATGAGTTAAGCAACAGTCAACAGGTGTTTGGGGTTCTAAGAAGGTATTCTAGAAATCACCTGGGCTGTAATTTAGTGGCAGCAAATGGTTTCTAGTCCTAAAGTTATAGGAACAGAATTATTCGTATTTTTACCCATAAAATTAATATAAAGCTGAATGCTATAGCACAGGCCTGTAGTCCCAGCTACTCAGAGACTGAGGCAGGCGAATCACTTGAGTCTGAGTTCTGAGCTGTAGAGTAAGCTATGCCAATAAGATTGTCCTTACTAAGTTTGGCATCAATATGGTGACTTCTCCCAGGAGAAAGGGATCACCAGTTTGCCTAAAGAGGGGTGAATGGCAAAGGTCGGAAACTGCAAGTCAGAATTCCCATGCTGACCAGTAGTGGGAATGTGCCATGAATAGCCACTGCAAGAGAGCCTGGGTAACATACCTGAAACTCTGTCTATTACACACACAAAAATTATTGTGGCCGGGCTCGGTGACTCATGCCTGTAATCCCAGCAGTTTAGGAGGCGGGAGTGAGAGGATTGCCTCATCCCAGGAGTTTGAGACCAGCCTGGGCAACATCTCTACAATAAATAATTTTTTTTTAAAGTTAGGTGGGTGTGGTGGCATGTGCCTGTGTAATCTCCGCTACTTGGGAGACTGGCAGAAGGATTGCCTGAGCTCAGGAGGTCGAGACTGTGGTAGCTATGATTGTGCCGCTATTGTCTAGGCGACAGAGTGAGATGGACTCAAAAAAAAAGTGAAAAATTTTTTTTTCTGCGTCTTCTACTTGTTAGAGGCTGAATACCATTTTGTTACTGATCGAATTGTGAACTGTGCAATATTTGTTGTAGTATTATAATTTTAAAAATATATGGTCTAGTGGTTGAAAAAAAGGTAAGTTTAATAAAACAGATACATAAAATGAACCTGTTGTGAAACCATGTTTGTTCAGGTAATGTCTTTTTCCTCAGGTAAAAGATGCCTGCTTTCTGCAGCATATGTAGATGGCCACAAATGGGAAGCAAGAGAAAAAGAACACTGTCATCTTGGTAGGTACCTCTTGGGCTATAGATGTGCCGTTTTCGGTCATTCAATATGTCTGCCATCATAAACTCATAGATGTGTATATGAAATTATGCTTTTATGATGATTCAATTCATATTAGCACATCCTCAATCTTAAAAAGAGTTAGACTTTTACACATGGCAAAATGACTTTTGCTTATCCTGTGTACTTTTAATATTTCATTTTCGCCTTGGAGATTGGTCTCCTTGAGTTATATAAACAATTGTTTTGTTTTTTCATTTTTATCATATAGTTTCATGCAGTCTGTGTCTGTTTTACAAAATTTTACTTTTTTTTAAATTCAGAATCTAACTCTGTTGCCAGGCTGGAGTGCAGTGGCACTCTCATGGCCACTGCAGCCTCAGCCTGCTTGGGCTCAGGTGATCCTTCTGCCTCAGTCTTCTAAGTAGCTGGAACCACAGGTGTGAATCACCACACCTGGCTAATTTTTTTATTTATTGTAGAGATGAGGTCTCGCTATGTTGCTCAGGCTGGTCTCGAACCCCTGAATTCAGGCAATCCTCTCACTTCAGCCTCCCAAAGTGCTGGGATTACAGGCATGAGCCACTGTGCCCAGTATAAATTTTACATTTTATACTTTGATTCTTGGTATTGTCAATCTCTTTATCGACTCTGCTCTATTTCATCACTAGGTGACAGGTTAGAAAGCAACATTAGAATCTCATGTAAGCCATATGGGGAAGATAGCTGGCTAGTATCTTCCCAGGCGTTGTAATTATACTTTCTCCTCATTCCCTATGCCATATTACACAGGTAACAGCCTTTCTTTTATAAAATACTAAAACCCAAAAGAAACCACTGTCTCCATGGACACTTTTAAAAAAACGTATACATTTGAGACTTTTGGTTCTGCCTGCCCTTTGGTGTATGTAACATCACTGGGACATTGACAAAGTAAATAGACTGGTGATCATTTTATGAGACTGATGTAATTTTTGGATTGCTTTCAGTACTGATCTAATATCTTTCCCCAAATTTCTTTCACTGTTTTTTGGGCTTACGTCAGATAAGAATAAAGTCCCTTTGTTTATGGATTCTTCCCGTAAATACAAGAGACATTGCTGTTTATAATGACTATCTAATTGGAGTTTTCAAATAACTCATCACTTTCTTCCCTTAATGTGATTGCATACGTGAGGTTGGTTGTGAGCTCTGGGATGGGTGTGTGGACAGGGGCCAGCAACAGCAGAGCTGCAGAAGGTCTGAAGAGGAGTCACTGCGGCCTCTCCATAAGGAACCTACAGTCTGATAATCGCTGTAAGAGTCCCAGGGTAGCATTTTGTAACAAATACTCTTATTATCCTGAAGTTACATTCATAGATAATATAATCTATCTATACATACTGTCTTTAAATCAGCATAATTCCCTTACCATGTTACAAAGGAGAAACAAAAGAGAAGTAATATAATAAATAACATATATTTCAATATGTAAATAAATGCAAAATTACACTAAAAAACAATGAAGTGGCTAAATGTTGCTTTTAAAATGTAGAATCACTGGTGAATTCAAATCCCAGGATTGCATTGTTATGATGACATAATTTTACATTAAAAAACAAACAACTCTTGGTAAAGTTCTGAATGACTCAATGCTCTGTCTCCCTTCAATATATATGGAAATTGAATTTATAGAAAATTTAGCTTGTTTTCAATATAAAAAAATACTTTGTATTTAAAATGGAGTTAGTTCCATAATTATAAACAGGATTTTTTTTTTAGTACTGTGATATCTGCATGTTACAAATGGCATGGTATTACGGGGCAAATTTTTAAACTTTTTATTTGAAAATAATTTTAAACTTATAAAAATTGCGGAGAACTCCTAGCTACCTGTCTTAGTTTGTACTCTGTTGCTTAAAACAGGATACTTGAAGCTGGGTAATTTATAAAGAAAAGGAATTTACTTTTGTTTTTTTTTTTTTTTTTGAGTTGGAATCTCACTCTGTCGCCCAGCCACAGCCTCAACCTGCTGGGCTCTGGCGATCCTTCTGCCTCAGCCTTTGGAGTAGCCGGAATTACAGGCACGCGCTACCACTCCCGGCTGATTTTTTGATTTATTGTAGAGATGAGTTCTCGCCAAGTTGCCCAGGCAGGTCTCGAACCTGCGGGCTCAGGTAATCCACTCACCTCAGCCTCCCAAAGCCGTGGGATTACAGGCTGAGCCACCGAGCCCGGCTAGGAATTTACTTTTTATAGTTATGGAAGCTGAGAAGTCCAAGGCTGAGGGGTCATAACCGGTGACAGCCTTCCTGCTGGTGGGTCTCTCTGAAGAGTCCTGAGGCAGCACAAGGCATCCCATGGCGAGAAGGCTGAGTGTTCTAGTTCAGGTCTCTCTTCCTCTTCTTAAAGAGTCATCAGTCCTACCTCCATGAAAACCTATTAATCCATTAACGCATTAGTCCACGAATGGATTAATTCACTACTCACCTCTTAAAGGACCCACCTCTCAATATTGTCACAGTGAGAACTAAATTTCAACATGAATTTTGGAAGGGACAAATATTCAAACCTTAGCACTACCTTTACTCATGTTTACCTGTTGTTACCATTTTGATTCATTTTAGCTAGCATGCACATGTTCCTGTTTTTTTTCCCCCTTTCCCTCCCCTTCTTCTTACCCCTCCTTCTCTCCCTTTCCCTCTGTACCACACATACTTTTTTTTAACCATTTGGGAGTTTGTTGCATATATTGTAGCCCTTTATCCTGATTACTTCAGTGTACATGACCTGAGATGGGGTATTCTGTTACATAGCCATAGCGCTGATAACAACTTCAGAAAATTTAACATTAATATAAAACTTTCTATTCATATCCCTATTTTGGCAACTGACCCAACAATGTCCTTTATTGTATTTTTCCTCCTCCAACACAGTATTCAGTCTAGGATCACATATTGCATTTAGTTATCATCTCTTTATAAAAAGTCTCCATTAATCTGAAGTAGTTCCTTATTCTTTTTTTCATATGACACTGTACTTTTTTTTTTTTTTTTTAAGAATCCAGTCTCTTTTTTTAATAGAATATGCCTCTGTTTTGGATTTGTCTGCTACTTTCTCATGATTAGATTCAATTTACAATTCCCCAGCCAGAGTGCTCTTGTGATATTGTGCCCCTGCCAGGGTATCACATCTGGGCATACTTGATATCCATATGCCTTCTCTGGTGTTGTCAGCTTTGATCACCTAGTCAACTGTGTCTGATTTCTTCACTGTAGAGTTTCTATTTTTATCCCTTCTGAGTAATAGCCTATCTGTAGAGAAACACTAATACAATGCAAATATCCTGCTTATCAAAAGTTTCCTCTTAGATTTACCATCCATTCATGGCTTCTAGCCTCAATCAGTCTTTACTATGATGATTCCAAAGTGATGATTTTCCAACTCCAACAATTTCCCCAGATTTACTAGTTAATACTCAGCATTCTACTATAAGCAAGAACCCTTCCTTTTCTTTCATTTATTTCTTTCTCATCTGTTTGTTATCATACATTATGTTTAAATCTTATCAATTTCTGGATTTTTAAAAATGATTCATTGCTATCCTTAATTATTTTGGTAGTCTAGTTGTCAGATTTGGCTAGTAGAAGCCCTTTAAAGCTGGCTTCCAGCCCCCTCTCCCCTTTATAACTTCTTACTTTTTCATCTAACAAGATGTTCCAGGCTCATCTTGCATCTTTCCTGCCCTAGCCCTGGGATCAACCATTTCTTCAAGGAGTTCTGGTTCCTTTTGGTGAGAAGTGGCATTAAAAACCAGTATCTGGTTGCTAGGTGTTCTTTTGCTACTGTGGAATATTTGTTTCTTGGCTCATTTAGTGGACAGAACTGGGAAAAATATGAATGCATATACACATAAAAATGCCTATATGCACACATGTACATACACATGTATATATGTGAAATAATGCATTCACACCAGCACTTCAAATTCCAGTTCATCCCCACAGGATTCTGCTTGCTTGGCCCTAGTCCATATTTGAATCTCCCTTCTTCCATACAGAGAGCCCTAGCAGAGGCAGTGTTTGATGGGCAGAACTGTCTCAGCATTGTGAGTCATCCGATTTCCCTGTCTTCTGTCCATTAAGCGCTAGCAATGCCTCCCAGTCATGACAGCCAAAAAATGCCTCCAGATATTCTAAAATGTTCTGTAGGGCCAGTAGCCTTTTGGGAACCACTATTCTAGTGAGACCAACATAGACACAATTCTATAGCAAGGCTTGTTCTGATGTGCTATATGTGGATTATCAGCAGAGTGCTATGGAAATACAGATAAGGAAATGATGAATTCAGAAAAGCTTGTTGTCAGCACTCTCCGAGGTATGAAGGGAAGTTTGGGAGATGAGGCCACTGTGTTTCGTGCCTTGGTGTTGGGGATAGCCACACGAACTCAGGGAACATTGTCATGGATGCTGGAGCAAGCAGAATGCGTGTAAAAATCTGCGTGTAAAAATCTGCAAGACCTGAGTCCCAAACGGAAGGAATTGTGGCCTCCTTTCTTTGTTAAGACTGGTTTGCTTGGAAGAGCGGTTCCAGCCGTGGTTTACTGAACTCTCCCCCGCACGGTGGCAGCCGTCCCCTCCACCTGAGCCGAACCTCTATTCAGTCAGCGTTGCTTTTTCCTGCCTTACGCGGCTGAGCACTTGGTGAAGAGGTTTCCCTGCCTGGGCAGGCTGACTTCTGGGTTGGGATCCCAGTTCTCCGGCTTTCAGCAGTCGTTGCCCAGTTTCTGCAGCTGCCGATCGGAGATGATGTCCGTGCCCGCCTCGGGGCCCGGCCCGTGATGGATGCCCCAGACACGCGTGGGATGAGGGCGGGCCCGGGCCCCCTGGTCTTCCCCCGGGATCACTCGTGCGAGGCGAAGCAAGGGCTTGGAGCGCAAATGCCTTGGGAGGCATCGAGGCCTTTTGAGGCCACTTTTTCCTGCTGCGTATGTCCTGGGATGTGAGTCTGCAGCGCTTTCCTT